CCCCCCCCACCCTCCGCTCAGCAGTGTACCTCGTCGATCTGCCTGTTCTGTTCCCCACTCTGTCTCTAGTGCATCCCACTCACACACACCCCATGCACCTCTGGCCTGTACCCCAGTTCTGTATCAATAAATAAAATGAATCTTGAAAAGAAAAGAAAGGAATGTAAACCTGGGTAAGACTTTGAAATTTATCATTTGAAAAAATCTCAACGACTTCAGACACAGAAAGGAGATGAGCACTCCTGATCAGAAAGGGAGCGCACATCCCCGTCTTTTTGAAAACACTAAGAACACTACAAACTATAAAAGCTAGCTCTCACGTTTGTCATCAAAGTGAGAGCTGGAAAATAAGATAAAAGTGACCTCACCAGCAGAAGTGTCACCTCAACAAAAGCAAGAGTTAAAAAGGCCACCATCATTAAGAGTTTGTAAAAGCCAGAATTATCTTACAGCTGCTCCACATTTCAATTTGACATACCGCATAGAAAGTAAGATACAGTGAACATACCTTTTGCTTTTCAGGAACATCCTCGAATTCTATCTTTCTCTTTTTCTGAGTGCCATCTCCAGGAGAAGGTTCGTCTTCTGGAAAACCATCAGGTTCCAGCCCTCTTTTCCTTGAAATGCCTTCATCATCACCAGCACCTTTTTCCTCCAGGACATTTTCAGCTTCAAGTTTTCTTTTCTTCAATGAACCCTCTTCCCCACCACTGAACCTTTCCTTTGCAAGTGTTCTTTCCTTGGATGGAGTGTCTCCCCGATAGCTAGAACCTTCCTTTACAAGATCGCCTTCAGGCTCTACTTTTCTCTTCCTTCCATTGTCCACTTGCCCACAGGTAGGAGCCTTTTCAGAAAGCCCAGTCCCAGGAGCAGTTGTGTTCTCATCAGTACCGAAAGAAGACGCTGTGTCTGTACCTATCGATGCTTTTGCCTTTTCAAAAGAGAGCTTTTCACATTCCTCTGTGTTGGCAGACGTTTCCATTCTTGATTAAACAGGAGGCACAACTTCATGAATTAACTCTGGAATGGCAAAGGTTTGACGTTACTGACAAGGTGCTGAGACTGTTAGACAAGTTCAACCAGAAGTTAAGCCGCTGAACTTCAGTGAGCGACTTCAAGTTAAAGAAAAAATAACCTCACTTTCGAGAGACTAACACTGAAAACAGTGCCACTTGCTATCAATTACACAGGAACTCCTGCCTACGGTAAATGCAACCCACAAACACTTCTACAACCTTTTCCCACAAAGTCACTATCAGCATTAGAACTGACAAAAGAAGTGGGGATACACACGTCCTATTTGCATTTCTTCGGGTTCCTTATGCTGTATGTCTGGACACTGTGTGCTGGCCTCGTAACAAACTCATACAGGCACAGAAAATCTGAAACTGTCAGGTATTTTCTTGTCACCTTGAGACACTGGGAAAAAGTACAACCAACCAAGCCAGACACCAAGGGCACCGAGGGCCCCGGGAACAGGAATATTCTGGGAAGGTAACATTGGACTTCTGAAATCCTGAGTTGGTAATGGGTGTCAGAATTAAGCAGAGAGTGAAAGGAGTAGAAGCGGCTTTGGACACTAAGTGCCTGCACCTTAGAGACCACTTCTCTCTCAAATGTTCTCAGGTCTCTGTGTGAAGCTCGTGCAGGGAATAGTAACATTCGTTTAATTCAGGAAATTTATTATCTCCTACTGCAGAGGAGCTCAGTCAGGGAAGTACTGTACCTAAATTAGTGTGCAGGAAGCTTTGTGCCTTACATACCACCACTAAAACGCTCAGTCTCTTAGTGAAACCAAGTAGTGAAGGGCAGAAGTCTGAAAATCAATGAAATTCAGCACATTGATTAATAGTGCAAAGATTTTCTGAGTGAAGAATACAATAGGAGTAATTTAAGGAGAAAAAAAAAATTACCATACACCGGGAAGGGTTTAAAAGGATATTAGTTAAATAATACGTGCCAAAACAGGAAAAACTTTTTTTTTCCTGGTAAAATCACTGAGGAAAGTAATTTTCAGATTAACTACTGTAAGCAGTTATTTAAATCTGCCACCGAAGTATCAAATCACCTCCACCTTGCCATTCACTTTCTAACAGGAGAATTTAGTTTTACATTTAAAGAAACCAATATGATTTACCGCTTTCGCTTGGAACTGTCCCCAAAATTAGTACCGCGAATACGACTGAATTTGCTTGATACAGGCAAGTTTCTTTCAGCAAAGATGTCATAAAAACATCAGTCAGAATAAATGACACAGAATGCCAAAAGACTGTAGAGATTAACCCGTAATTCCAAGTGGAATAATGAATAAAGTATAAACACAAGAGCATTGCCTTACAGAATCTGCCAAGAAGGAGCTGAGGGTGGAGTCAACGGATAAAGAGGACAATAAATAAATAAATAAATGGCCACACAGACATGCTGGTCTGGCTGTCTCCAGTCATCCTTTTGAGGCTGGCGCCGCTGGATTATTTTGTTCTGTGTGAGAAGGTCCCGGTTGGGCAACTGAACCGCTGGGCTTCATTGAAGGTCTAGCAGGATAAGCGCAACTCTCTCCCTCGCGCTGTAGAAGGGGTCAGTGTAGGGATAGGGGAGTTCCAAAAGCACACAACAGAAGCAAGAAGGCAATTCTTTGGCTAAGTTCACCCTCTTCCGTCAAGGTGAGGCAGTGCGTTCAGGAAATCTTAAGGGGAGGTTCCCGACCTTGGCTAGGGATATGCAGAAGCTTCTTCAGATGCGACATCGCCCTCTGAGGGCGACCCCGGGCAGCTCCACAGGCCACCCACCCGACCAGGCCCGGGAGAAACAAGGACGCGCGCTCAAGGGAGACTCCCGTTTTGCGTAGGGCTGTGGGGACCATGGAGTCAGCCCAGAGGCATCGAAGGCACTATGCTAATGACGGATAGCCCGCCTTACGGAGCCTGAGCTCATCAGGTACCTGGATGCTGGTGGCGGGAAGCAAAGCAAAGAGCGAAGGAGCAGCACCAACGCCAACACGGCCGCCGCCGATGCCGCCGCCACCTTACAGACAATTGCCCCAAAGACTCTTTGCGGAAACAGTTTCCACGCTCCGCGGACGTTGTGGCGCTACTTCCTGCGGCGCGCGCACCAAATGCTCCACCCGACCGCTAGCTTCGCAGCGCGACTCCATCTGCAACTACAAGTCCCGTGGTGCAGCGCGCGGCGGCGTGCTAGGCCGCGCGAGCAGGCGCTGTGGTCGCGTGCACGTTGTTAGTGGGATTGTAGTTGAGGAAGGCTGCTGGGGGTCTCGTGTTTGTCTGTGTCTCGCAGATTGCGGCACCCGGACCCGCGGTCGACCTTGTCACTCTCTTGAGTGACACGGCTTGGCATCTAAGGAGCCGTCCTCCGGCCCCTGCGACGGCGGCCCTACAGCCCTGAGAGGTAACCTGGGCCAAGATCTCTAGGGGGCAGCGGGAGGCAGAGGGCACCTTCAACCTGGCGCACGCTGGGGACGTGACCCCGGCGCGGAGAGCTTCCCGGGCTGGGCCTAGGTCAGCCGGCGAAGCGAGGGGTGTCTAAGCTCGGCCTTACCCACGCTGGGACCGTGGGAGGTCGTGACCTCCGCCCTTCCTTGTCGGGCCTGGGTCTCTTAACATGTTCCTCAGCTTTCTGCCCCTCCCTTGCTGAATAGACTGCTGAACTGGGGTCCTGTGAGCCCGCCCCTGTCCCCTCCCTAGTAATCCTTTTCAAAATGAGCAGCATCGTATTTTTCCTGTGGACTTGGCGGGTCACCTCCCCCACCACCTCTGTGTTAATTAGAAAACCGCCATTTGTCTCCCAGCGGGGTGCGGTTTCCACTTAGCGAGAAGCTCCTCTGGATGCAGTTGTTCCCTTTAGGTCTGGACTTGGGTGTGGAAGGTTTGTCTGCGACCAATCCCACTGGCTTGTCAAGTCACCTACTGTATACTGAAACATGGGCCCTGCAGCTGAGATACGGGCTCTATGCTAGTGAAGAAATGGTGCCCGCTAACAGACCTTACTCAGAACTACAAGTTGGCTGGAGTATAGATTTTGGCCCATTTATTTTTGGGTTCTTGTGATCAGAGAGAACAGCTGGATGGGCTGTTCACTGCTTTAATCAGATGCCTTGACAAGTGCCTGACAGTTGTCAAGTTCTCAGTGAATGTAGGCTTTACCAAGGAAAGCTTTGAAAAATTCACTTTTTTAAAGGTCTTAACAGGATCATTTACGTCCAGATGTGAAACTCTTAATGTACCATTTTGTTTATTTGGCTCCTTACTTGCCCACTTACAAAGAGCCTGTTCTCCTGGTTTGGGTTATACTTTGGTCAGCGAGAGAAGAGGAAGCAGTAACTTGTAAGTTTTCTGGTCAGAGTAAAGCAGACAACAGATTCAGTAATGCCATTCCTCTTTTTTCCATTATTTTGAGCTCATTCTTAAACTAATGTGCTTAGAGACAGCACTCAGATATAAATTTAAACTGTGATTTCTGGTATAAGGTTGAAGATCACATTTTGTAACACAGACTTGTTGAACTGTAGGCAGAAGGTGATAACATGGTAATCTTGGAGGTAGGGCAGAGAGTGGTTTGTGCAGTGGTTACTTCTCCAAACTGCTACTTCAGTCCACTCGCCAAAGGTTTACTGCCATTTTGGAACGCATAAGACATTCTTGCTTTAAAGGGTTTTCATATAGTTGAAAGACAGTTTGGTTAAGTTTATTATGTGTGAAGATTAGTTTTATATTTCAGTTTTACCAGGCTATACTGTACTGTGTTATTTAGTTGAACACTAATTTAGATATTATGGTGGTGTTTGAAAACACACCATGTACAATCAGTTGGCTCTACATAAAAGTGATTGCCATCAATGAGGCTGTGCCTCAAACAAGTGAAGGCTTATAATTCAAACTGAAGTATCTCAGCAGAAAACAGTCTTCCTCCACGCATCATTGATTTCACGTTGCCAGTCTGCAAATTGCCCTGCTCATGTTGATAGCCCCGAGTTACTTGAGTCAGTTTCTTAAAACCAGTTCTTTTCTCTATATCTGCCTATCTATTTAGGTAAATAATAATAGTGATCTCTAATAGATGGCTGTGTCTGTTTATCTAAACACAGATAAATGTAAAGATAGATAAAGGTATTTATATTTTGCCTACCAGTGCTACATATGGAGAACTCTGAATGATTCAGACTTTGCTACTGAGAGTAGTTCCAGAGGGAGACAATCTCGAGAATGAGTTTTCTGAGTTGGTTGTGAGGTTCTGAAAATGGGTTTCCTAAACTGATTAGACTCAAAAGCTTGAGTGACTTTTTCCTGTGTTAAAGAGCAAGCATTGCTCGTGTATGGTGCGATAAGACATTGACAGTCTACAAACTATCACTACTTTATACCCCTACTCAAATATTTGTAAAAGACATTATTCTGTATGATCATGCACTTGATGAATTAATACTCGTGGTTCAAAATAACAAGTGTGATGAGATGAATTAATACTCGTAGTTCAAAATAACAAGTGTGATGAGACTGGCTATTTCCTTCTAACTAGGCAGAAACTAGGCAGAGAAATGGGTGGATATGCTTAGGTCTTCTAGTTCCCAGTCAAAGCCTGGCATAAATGTTTTGAACGTTTCTGGCTTCCCCAAAGAAACTTTTATTGCCTGTAATTACCTGTAAGATTGCAGAAAATCAAAACCAGGATCTCATCCTGCAATGAAAGAATTACAATGCAAAGGGAATTCTCAATATAACAGGTGTCTACAGTTAAAAGAGGGATTTTATTGGTAAGGAATGGGGCCCTAAAATTTGGCATGGGAACATATAGGAAGATTCTGGTGAAGCAGAAACCCCTAAACCTTTCCCTTTTTCCAAATTAAACTTTATTTTTGTAGCCTTCCTCCCCCCAGTTTATTTTTTTTAATGATTTATTTATGTATACAATAATTGAGGTAAGGATTTACCAGAACAGAGTGGGGAGCAGAATAGGCAGATCTACTGAAATACACTGCTGAAGGGAACAGTGGTTTCTCGAGACAGAATAGGTCTGCTGAGCCATGTGGGTAACCTCCCTGACCTGGGATCAAACTTGTGCTGCAGTGGCTGTGCTTTAACAGGTTGTGCCTCTAGGGAGGGCCCCAGTTTATAGTTTTAATGTCTTTTCCATCTGCATTAAATGTATCCCTGACTAATTATTGTATCATTTGTTTCCTCTTGCAATCTTCAAGCTTGTTTTTAAATGATTGATCTGTTACTTTTACTTTGTAGTTGTGCTTTCCGGTGAAATTGTTTTCTTCTGTGTATGTTTTTGTTGTCAGGACCATTTCTTTTCAGGTTATAGAATTCCTTTAAGCATTCATTAATTGCAAGACTTCTTTAGTGGAAAGTTTTCGTTTAACTGGGAAACTCTTAATTGATTAAACCTTCAATTCTGAACTGTTAACCTTGCTGAGTAGACAATGCTTGGTTGGAAGTTTTTTCTTTTCAATGTTCAGAGTTGATTACACCAGTGTTTCTAGCCTATAACGTGTCCTATTGTGGACCTCCTTGGATTACTGTTGCTGGGAGTGCTCGTAGCTGCCCAAAAGTAAAGACTTTTGGGCCACCATCATCTGTAATACTTTCCTGGGTCTTTCTTTCTATTCCTTCTGAGACCCCTTTAATGCAAATTTTATTTTTCCTGATACTGTCCCAGAGGTACTTTAAGGTATGTTTGCTTGCTAAAATTATTATTTCGTGTGCTGCTTTGTCTGGGTGAATTCTGTCCTTTGTTTTCCTGCTCATTCTCTCTTCTATCTGCTTCAGTCACTCCACTGTAGGGCGACTTCTGTCATTGTATTCTTCAGCTCTGTAGCTTCTGTTTTGATCTTAAATTTCTAGTTCACCCATCCTTTTCCTGAGTTTGGTGATCATCTTTTTTTTTAATTTATTTATTCATAAAAAATTGGGGAACAAGCCAGAGGTGCAGAGGCAGTGAGAGGCTTCACCAGAGACAGAGAGGGGAGCAGAACAGGTATATCAACAAAGTACAATGCTGAGAGGAGCAGTGGGCAGCCAGGAGAGGTCTCCTGAGCCATGTGGATCACCTCCGGAGCTGGGGATAAAACTCTCACTGAGGCATCTGTGGCTTGCAGTGCTGCGTCCTAAACCTTTGCGCTATCAGGGAGGGCCGGTGGTCATCTTTGAACAGTTCATCAAGTTGTTAACTAATATTTGTTTCTTTACAGTGTTTGGGGGTGTTTTTGTTTGTTTTTCTTGCTCTTTCATTTGAGATTTCTTCCTTTATATTGCCATTGTCCTGATTCTCTGGGTTTTTCTATGTACTAGTCAATTTTACTCTCTCCTGCCCTTACAGCAATGGCCTTGTGCAGGTGCTGTCCCATGGAATCAGACCATAGTCCCATCCACCAGCCAATTAGGTCTCTAGGTTTGTACCCTGTGTGGGCTGCCTCGATTCCCCTACTATGTTGATGTGACATGGCATGGAATATAAGACTGGTGTGCTATCACAGCCTGGGCAGGTAACTGGTGTATTTGTTGTGGCTATCCAGGGTGTACTGCCCATGTGCAGTGAGTTGGAAGAGCCACCAACTTCTACTTGTGTGCTTGGTGGTTGTGTGTCTGTGCCAATGGAGCATCAGTTGCTGGTCAGTGAGCACAGTTACCTTGCAGAACTCGGTAGAGCTCTCAGTAAAGCTCGTCCACAGTCCTAGTAAGCTGGGGAGAGATGAACACCAAAATTTTGATCAGTTTCTTTTTGCCAGTAGGAGCTGTCTTCTCACACAGTTGAGGTGGTTATCCCAATTTTGCCTGAAAAGCTGTAATAACCTTCCCCAAGAAAGATTCCTGATTCTTTTCAGGAGCTACCCCTTCTATCCATCTTTGCTTCTAGACCTGTAGTTAGACTCCATTGTAGCAGATTTTCAAGGGTGACCTACAAAGCAAGACCCCTGGAGAGGTAAGCTACAGTCTCAAAAGCTGTGATCAAGGAAAAAAAATATTTTCCAGAGATAGTGGTGGCTTAAATAAATTGTGTCAAACAGAAATAAAGTGAGTTTAGTAAGTAATCTAAACTGAGGACCTTACCTCTCTGAGGACTTGAATCTGGGGGCTGCCTCCAGATAGTTCTGGGAATTCTGCCTTAACTTTGAGCCAGTTATATGCAACTTGCAAGGAAAATATTTCAAGGACCCTAACAGTTACGAGTTTGTATATCTACTTGATGTTGTTTGGGCATTGAAGGTTTTCAAAGAGGGTTGTTAAATTTTACCCTAACTCTTCAGAGACTTATCTTCTGGAACCTTACCTCTCTGAGGAGTCAGTATTCTTTGCAGTTACTGACTTTTCTGGAGATAGTAGCTTCAAAAATGCTTCTTTTTCTCAACAAAATTTTCCAAGGCAAGGTGTCTTTATAGGGTCAGACCA